TAAAATGTTTGTGCCATTTGTTTGAACATGGTCACACAATCTTTATTGTCTTTTTCAGGTGCCATTTGCTCTTTGTACTCTACACATAACCCGCTCCGATGAGTATCCTCTCTACAGCTTCGGTGATCCTACACTGGCATTAACTTCCCACCCCCCGTTGTCTCCCTTGCCCGACGTCCCAAAGCCAATTCAAGTACAAAATGTGTCAAACCTGGATACCGATGGATCTTCTGCCGCCATCCCTAGGCTACATCAATTCATTCATTCGAAAAACTTTTTCTTCTCTGCAGAAGAGGAGATCGCACTCGGTCCATCACTTTGGCTCTGGGATATGCTACGCAGGTCGAAAAGTGGTGGCTTCTTTCTTTGCCTCTCAGGCGGCCTGGACTCTTCTAGTGTGGCCTGCATCGTATACAGCATGTGCATTCAGGTTGGCTCACGTAGGGCTGTCTACCCTTCATACAAAGAAGGATGCTTTCTTTTTGCAATCCTCCAAAATCGCCGATTTTCACACAGTGATTTTCCAACTTTAAATTTAGTCGCAGTTATGAAAACCAAGATGGCATAGCCTTTAGTATGGTCACGGTACGTCGTATAGGAGTTGATTGACCTTGTCTTCGCGACTTGGTATGATTGCTTTGGAGACATAGAGGAAGTCATCTAGTTCGGAGTCCATAGTATGCATGATAATTTCCAGTCGGATCGTGGACTTAATACATTCCCAGGTGTTTTGCCGTCATCCTAGCACCACTACAGCTCATTCTTAACAATTTAACTACAACTTAACCGCTCTACAGTATAAGGATGAATGAAGTCCACACTTTGGCCATTTGCCTGCTCAACAGTTGTGGCATTTTTCCTTCTACCTTGGTGCATTAGTCTGTCCCATATTCTTGTGTCATACCCTCACTATCACAGTTTCTTGCTTATTTTAACCTAGTTCAAGTGTGTCCATTTATTCTCACTCCCCAACGGTTACTTCATCCCATAATGATGCTGGGAGATTTGATTCGAGTATGACATTTTAATCCACAATTCCCCTCCTCCAGGTTCTAGCAGAGTCTTTCTTGTCCTGTAGGAACCGTCTGATTTCCTCCTGGTTTTGTGATTTCACTCAGTCACTTTTACCATATCCATACTATTCGAGGATTTGTGTACTACACTCTAGCTCTAGCCTTTGATATCACGACACTTCAGCCCCACATTGCCACCCTTCCCAAAGTCTGAGTTCTCATGCTGGATGCAAAGCCAATTTGGCGATACAGATTCTCTTATCACTTGTCACTATATAAACGGGGAAAATCTCGTGGTCAAGCCTTTACTTCACGGACCACGTACTTGATCAAACCCTCCTACTAGTGGACCAAGATATCATGGTTTCTGTCTGGAAATGTCTCAATTTCAGGGTCCAATGCATTTTCTAAAGCATATACTTCAGTATCCCGTTGATCTTCATGATTGGATACTTTCTTAATATTTGATAATTATTCTGGTCACCTAGCATACTTTTCATTTCCGTCCATTGTTTCCTGTCTATTACGACTGTCGCTACCATCTTATCTGCCTGCGACCGTTACTAGGTAAAAACAATATTCAGGTGATCACGAAAGAGAAGACAACACTTTTCACTAGTTATTTTTTGTTTCTGAGCAGATTTTAGAGACTAACAGTAGATCATATATAATGAAATGTATTGACTTTATTTCCTCGTTTTGCTGATTATGGTATGTCTGTGGCTAAACTTAAAATTAGAGAAGCCATACAAATAAATCGATATAGAATACATTAAATGCAAGGAATACTGGCAAGAAGTTAAGTAAAAACTATATATGAAGTGAATTCACCCTCTTTCGTTTAAGTTTATAGGGGGACTGGTAGTTGAAATTTCATTCAATCATACAAGTGGACCTTACGTTTCCATTGAATTTCACATAGCCTTGGTTTTTTCATAAGGTATTATAATCGAGGATGGACTGCAGTTTCAATCTTACCTAGGTCCTATTCCACGAATTCCCTTGAGTCACAGGGCATATGTGCATTTAAAGGAAGGCCAGGTATTTTCTCATATCGCATTCTGTAGTTGGATTGTTGCTATAGCAATAGCAGGTTTTCGAGCCTACTATTAGATCATATGTATGAGAGGTGGAAGTGATGGAGTGACCTCATTGAATTGGAGGGATGAGAGACGGATTATACGAGGCAAGAAGGAGACTCGGATATGACCGGGAGGAAGAGGATTGTGGATTTTAAGGGCGTACTCGAATCAAAACTCCCAGCACAGGAGAGAGGGAATGAGGTAATCGTTGATGAGTGTTAATAGGTCCCACTAAATGCACTCGTAATGACACACCTGAACTAGGTTTAAATTGGCAAGAAATTGTCATAGTGAAGGCTTGATAAGAGGGTATAGGCCAGGTGAATTCACCAGGGCTACCACAACTGTTCATTAGATACTTGGTCAAAGTATGGACTTCAATTATCTCTTTTACGAGTTGTAGAGGGATGCTAAAAATGGCAAGGCTTACTTGCGTGGCCAACTAGGACGTCGGCGAAACTTTTTGGAATGTACCAAGTCCGTGATCCG